TGGGGGAATATAGTGTAGTGTACTGGCAGGTGAGTGAGTGGTGAGTGCCACTGTATTTAACTGTACAGTACAGTACTGGCAAATCTGGCAGGTGAGTGGCGCTGTACGGGCAGGTGAGTGAATATAACCAAAAAGTGGTGTACAAGCAAAAGTGAGTGAATATATCAACTCCCTATATATATTTATCGATATTAATTCTGAAATAAAGAAAAGTGGTGCTAATGTGTCCAGGTAACGGCAAAGAGAAGACACACGTTACTGGTTGAGGCTTACTGTGGGTTAAGCGGACAAAGACTAGTGCTGCATTCGAAAGAGAATTTATCTGATTTGGTGCCGCCGAAAAAACAGCGATCGTGATGGCGGACAAAAGCAAAATTTTGGAGATCACGACGAGCCAGCATAAGCACCTCAAAATGTTTTAGCTTCGCGTAAAGGCCTGTTTACCTCTCTTTACAATTATTTTGGTTTAATGCTTGCGCCATTAATTTGAATGGAGAGCTGGCAGCGAAAACGATAAGTGTAGAGTCTAATACTCTTACAACCACGGGGTTAACATGTCTAGCCCAACATGACATAAGGTATACGAAACTCCTGGCACCCCGGTTAATTTACCATCACGAGTAAGAAAACGCTCTAACCATACATTTCTACTTCCTGCACAATTGTCTTGTCACGCATGCTGCTGAACAAAACTTTGACGTTGTGACAAGGATGAACCATGTCAAATTAATAATGGACCCGGATCTTCAACTTGCAACTTGCAGCTGCCAGCTGTCACAGGCTCTACTGCGACACACAGTTGCTCGTACTTGTCTTCATTTACATAATACACAAGTTCGAAGGTGTAATCATACGCCCTAGCAACTATTTACTCTAATTCTAAACTACTATCGCCCATTCCTATCCCGGCAGTAAATATACTCTACATAACATCGTTAGTTTCTATCTCATTTCAGCGGAGCGGCATACTGATCCTACTGCCTTTCTAGCTTTGCTCTGGGGTATCAGCAATATTTGTCCTAGACAGTCGGGAAAAACCTGTAATCAGTACTAAATCTACCGCAGCTGACGACCATTAAGCTAAAATCAAAATGTGTAAGAACTGTCGCAGGGATTATTCATGCGATAGGCATGTATGTACATATTTAACGAATGTGTAAAGTTCAGGAAGTTCTAATGGTAACGATGGGAGTTTGCAGACGAAAGATATGTATGACACGTAGGCTGCTAGCATCAAATCATGTAGCACATACAGTTCGACATACATAATAGCACAAGTGTATAGTATTTGCTTGAATCGGACTAAGATCTGAATGTATGTCAATTCTGAGATAGACTCGCCCCAAACCGCTTCTGCTTTATACCAGAAGTGAGTCCAAGTGTAAACGAAGCTCCACCTAGAGAATATTCTATGACACCTAGCAGTATTACGGCTCGGGACGGGCCAGCTAAGCCATATTTCGATCAATACGTATGTTTGATCACATCTAGGACGAGGCATTTCCTTCGCTTTTAAGGCCTCCAGATTCACCAATGAAGATTGAAAATAATCTTCTTTACTCGGACTCAGGACACTGGGATATCGTATCCAGTCAGGCGCCGACAGTCGCGCATTGTACACTATCGTGTGAGACATCTGAATCAATCATGACTTCCACGGTTCCACGCAGCTTAAGGCGTTTATGTTGATAACCAATTTTTTGGCAATGAGTCTTGCTTCTTAAAAGAAGTCACCCCTTCAAGACTGTGTCCCATTGATCTCGACCTGTGAGAACCTCATTTTCCCAAGTATGCGAACAGCGGCTAACAGAACTTAACAGTCTCCGCGAGATGGTTGTCAAATGACCCCTTTTTTGTCTGAACCTTTATGCCTTTCAGCCGAGATAGAAGGAGCGCACCACAGAAACCTGACTCAGCTAATTCAGCATGACTAACGTCCATTGCATCTACTTCGCTCTTCGAATTTTAACCTTCTGTACCTCAACTGGCCCTTGCGGCAACGGATTTTACTCCGCAATTCACTGCAACCCTAAATGAGGTCAGGTGGGCACGAAAGGTCACAATACAGCCACATTTTCAATAATATGGTATCAATTATTGTTCCAGAGAGATTTCGCCGCTTGGGGTGATAAGAGTCTGAAACACATATTCGTATTATTCTTTCTCCCCGGACGAAAAGACAAAAAAATTAAGTGCATGATATACACCTCGTTCGGTAGTGCGAACTTCCGCGAAATATGTCGCTTCAACATTACCATGTCGAAAGTGTATTTCTACAGAGATTCTGCAACTAGCACCATCATCGTTCGCATGGTTTCTAGCTTGGAGCTAGTGCGTAGCTAATGCGACGCACTGATGCTTCGCTTTGAGCATTGCCGAATTTGTGACCATGTCTGAGGTTTATGCCCAAACAGACAAACTTGTCGTCTCGAGCAAGGAGAGGCTATACGCCTAACATAAAAGGCTGAAGGAGAGAGACAGTCGTGCCCCCACCGATGCCTGGTTCAAGAGTTCTTAAGAATTTATCACAAGCACATTCACTTAGCTAGTGAGCGCCTCTAGGCGAGCAGCTACTGCTTCCAGCCCTTAGGCCGCTAATCGTGAACACCAACGTTAGACATGAGCTGATCATGCGTGTCTAGTTTTCTTGACGCGATATAGCCGAATAGTTTATGTTCTGTCTTCGCAGAGGACGCAGTGGATTTGGACCCGACAGTCAAATTGACAACCAGTGCGACCAAGTGCAGCGGGGGTCTCCGTGCTTCTTGCATAGAGTCGTTTACTTAACGAGGCCGAGTTCGGTCACACACGGATAGTGAGCTAATGCATTGCAATTGGGAGAGTCTCTCAAGTAGTGAATACCTTGTTTGCTTTTGTGCGCAGCGGAAATCAATATGACGCATGCTCGTGAGATCTGGCACAAATGTGTGCAGGTAAGAAGACAAACTCTTAGTACATGAATTGCTAGTGGAATTCTCAATGTATGTGGTCTAATACAAAACAGTGTTTGTTGTCCGAAATGACTTTACTTGGTATTTTAATTTCATTGTCCGAAAGAATCACAAAAGAATCAGATTATTTGTAGTGGTATTTTGACATCAATTCAAGATACCGTTTTATTCGCTTGCGCTCATGAGCCAAAAAAAATATGGTCTATTGGCCTTCCGCGATAGGTGGAAAAGAAGCGCTTGGAAGAAGCAAGCTTGAATGAATGCCTTCCTCGATATATGTGTTGAACCAAACTGAAAATATTGAGGAAGCGCGATTTGCCACCCCGAAAATTTGAAGCTGATACTCCGCT